CGGTTAATGAAGGCCCTGTTTTGGACTCGGTCGGCTGGAGGCCGTTTCGGCCCGCCTTTGCATTGTCACACTAAAGATTGCCTCTGCAGCGAACGGGAGCATAGGCACTCTAGTAGCCCGATAGTGACGCAAATACGGGACGAAATGGCCGAAAACGCCCAGCATAGGGCTCTTATTGACCGGGATAAATCGTTCACTGTGAAAAAACCGCGGCGACTGCATAAGAAACAAGAAAACACATTATTTCAAGCAGGGGCCTTAACAGAGAAAGGGGCATACCAATGACATTTTCACGAGCTGCTATTGAGGACTCGCGTAAATCGAGTGAAAAAAAGTCGAAATAGTGAAAGAAGCCTAGATCCCTAGATCGGGCACTAATTGCAAGGAAATCTTGCACCGTGCTGAACAAAGATATTTTTCATACCGGTAAGGACCTACCTCTCCAGAAAGAACTCTGAAGAAGTGAAAAAGCGCTATTCGGCTGCGGATCGTGGGTGAAAACAGCTGATCCGCTCATGGTCAATCGCTGATTGGTGCGCCCATTTGTGGACGTGTCCATGATGATGGGAGTATGGGTGGGCACGCTTAGCCTCGCTGAGACCCGCAGAGACCGCTTTTCCTAGGAAAAAAACGCCACGTAAGGCTTGCTCAGGGGCACGGTATTCCTTGGAGGTTGTTGTAATTATCTTACACGCCTAGAGGATTTATCGTGCCCTTTCAATGGTTCTAGGTGTCTATCCTAGCCTGAAGCCGTCACGGTTTGCCTTGCTGCCAAACCAAGATGAAGACCTTTTCAAAATAAAAGCGCTGCCGTAAAATACACTCCATGTCTCCTGAGACGCGGGCGCTGCGGCTACGAGCCCTTCCATTTGATACATAGCGTAATCGTTTTGCGTTGGGCGTAGACATGATTTCTGTTGTCAGCTGTTCGCTGTTTTCAGAAACGCCAATATCCCACCAAATATCAGCCGCTACGTTGAAACTGACCGCGTAGCCATACCCTTCCAATTCGGAGCACAAACTAAGAGGAGAAACTGATTATCATCGAATAATCATTGGATAGTGGGGAATGTTCCTCTCACAATTGCGCCTGCTGCCTCTCAATGAGGATGAAAGTTCCGGATTAGTGGGGCTCCAAGGAGCTGAGCAACTCAGCAGTGCAGAAAAAAGTTCTAGAAATGCACCAAACGCACCTCCGCCGAATCCGAACTTAACGAGCTTGAATACATAGCGTGTTTTAAGAGGCTCGTTGCTCGACCGTTCAATATAAACTAACTTTCTTGTGAAATTGCGCCCAATTTTTCGAGTAGCTCTACGTATCTAACTGGACAGTTGACGTATTTAGCTGGAATTCTCTGATAATAAACGCGTGATTGTAATCTCATCTGGTCAACGTTCCACATGCAACCAACCGACGATTCCAGGAGAGGATGTGAACACCATTGCCGATGAGGTGATTTAGAATGTTCCAAATTAGGTGATCAAGGAATGAAATATTTTTGAACACAGTCGCTTTATTATTGTTGCACTTACATAGCAGTGAATCTTATTTGCTCGTTCTTCAGTGGCACTCAGGTGGAGTGCCTGTGATCTACATTGGCATCGGAGATAATCCCAACAAAACGGACATAGAAAAGATCACACATGATCCTCAAAATTCGATAATTGTGCCCAACTTCAAGGTGAGCTTGTTAGTTGATGTGTTTGAATAATTACAAACATCAACTGTTGATGTAAAGGACAAAAAGCCGGATGAAGTTGACAAAGAAGCAGACAAGGTGGTCAAGCAATTGCAATCAGGACAAGGGGCAACGACCGGCACCACAAGCGCAACCAGGTCAAGCAGCTCAAGAGGCACAATCACCACAAGCCCTACGTTGAGCTGTCCTCCCGTAAGTCTACAAACGTATACAAAAAATACATATAAAAAATTAATAAAAAAATGATGCAGCAACTGCCAAATCTGACTGTGGTAATCTTCTTTCCGTTCATTGTTTTATTGGCATACTTGAACACTTCCCGCTTGCGACCTTTTAAGGCTCGTCGCGCTTCCTAACACACAACCCTGCTCTTCCCTCGCCACGTGCGCCAAGATATTTTCAGGTAAAATGGAAGGGGTTGACCCTTGCCTAAAATATGGGACAAATTACTGGGTCCACTCAACATTTCGTTGTAGCTTGCAAGAGAAGCGTCGCTTCGATGGCATCCTTACGAAATTCAAGAGCAGCGGGGGAAGCGCAGAGCCATGGAGCACCCCCACTTTGATGAGTAATCCATCGAGGTGCCTGCTGGTGTTCGCGACGCGACTCGGCTGGAATACAGAATGTGCACCCACTGCAACGGTGCCCTTATAAGGCATACCTTATAAAGTCACGATGCAAGACACGGTCAAGTGCCTTCTCTAAGTCAAGGAATGTTGGGTGGACATACTTGTGCTTCTCGCAATGTCTCTCCAGCAAGAGGCGAGCGATATGCATGGCATCGATGGTGCCACAGCCGGTCACGAAGCCAGCACTGTCTGGTAGGGACTGGCTATATCAGACGTGTCGGCAATTTTGCTGAAAAATTTTCATGCTTGCGAGAGCCAGGAATTGGGCGATAATGTGAGCAGCATTCAGGATGCTCTTTTTCCTCCAGATCAAAACGCTCTCTTACCACCCATTGGGCATCTTCTGCTCTACAACGACCTAGTTGAAGAACTGTCAACCATTAGCAGCATGCCAGCAGTGTGACTTCCATACTTCGACCGCCACGTCGTCAGGGCCTGTTGCCTTGCCTGGCTTCATCTTCTTGAGAGCTGCTTCCGTTTCCTTTTACGGTCATCTTGTGGACAGGACCATGTATTGGTGAGGCATGAGGTATGGCCGAGTGTGCAAATATTCTCAAAAAGTAGTGCCATCGCCTCAGCCATCAGAAGAAGGTCCTTCTCGTTGTTGATGCCAGCAAACTTGTCCACATCCTCGGCCTGGCGCTGAATGGCCTTGGCAAGTCGGTAAATGAGCCGTTCGCCATCGCGCGCCCCAGCCTTCTTGCTAACGTCTTCGGAGTGAGCGGCTTTTGCAGCAGTCATAGCCTTCTTTGCTCTTGGCTCCCTGGTACTTTCGCCAGTTGTCAGCGACTTTTCTCCGAGGAACAAGCGATAGCGTTTCTTCCCCTCGTGAACCTTTAGTATGACATCGTCTGTCCATGCCTGCTTGTCAATTCTACGCCTCCCAGGCTTCGTTGTGCCGTTCGCAGCGAGCGGCCTGAACTATCGTTTTGGCAGCACTTTTCCAGGTTTCGTAGACAGTTCGTGACGGTTGGTAGCCGAATACGAGGGATCACAACTGCTTCCTCCCCCTTCAAACGCCACTATTATTCCATTCTCGGGACCAAATCGCTCGAATTGTTTCGACCTAGGCGGTGTACTCTTCAGCATGCAAATCAGCGGGCGATGCTCCGTAGCGTCTGTCTCATACAGCACGACCTTCACGTGTGAAATAAGCTCATGATTGCGATGCCTGACGAGAACAAAGTCCATTTGTGTTCTGGCACTTCCGCTGTATATGGT